TAACTCGGAAACTACTTATTAGAATTTTGATTTAGAAACAAGAACATTTTCAATACAATTATTTGTAGTAAATAGGGGGGGGGTGTACATTTGTAAAGTAGATGCTTTGTTCACCACAGGGAACCCTAATGCCCTAAAAAATGGGTTAAAAATGACCATTCCCTAATGCCTATTCCATAAAACTGATAAATATTTAAAATAATATAATTTATTATATATTTTAAATGTTTGATGAAATACCTACCTATCTGAATACCGGAATATTGTAGTTGTATCTAAATTATAATATTATACTAAAGTACAAAACATCAATAATTAATTATAGTAGGTATACCCACTGCATTAAACATTAATATTGTAGAGTTGAGCACTACATTATAAATGATTTAATTTACATGAAATATGATTACATAATGACATAATACATCAGTTGCGACGTAGAAATATAATTTTAAATTTATATAAATATATTAGTATCTACAATAATACCCAATTTGCTAAAATCAAATGAAAATAATTCAACCATAAATATTATATAGGTATAATGTAGTAATAGACAATAGTTCGTTATTTTTGTTTCGTTGCAGTATCCTTTAAAATGTACGTACATCGTAGGTATTGTATAGGTACCTACAATTACTGCAGAAGAAAGTCAAGTGACATGAGATTATTAACAACAACAACAATTTGATAACAGTTATAGCGGGCATATGAGGATAATATATTATTATTATGATATTACAACACATGATATTATTGTTATAATAATAATAGCGATATGGTGGATGAATAAATTAGAAATAATATTCCAGTGGGCCCCATGCAAGGTTGAGGAAACGGTTGGCTGGCGCCCAACAAAATTAATGTGTCGAGTTGTCATTAGAGATTACACGAGGGACTTGACTATTAATACAATACCTACCTATACCATTTTGACTGTACTCGCATTCATAGCCCTTTCTTGACGTTTTTATTTTACTTTCCATTATAAAAAAAAGAGGGTTCTTCCCTTTCATTATTACTTGCTTTTATTGTGTTCCGTTGTTATGATTTATCAGTGTTCGACACAAAATATCAAGTTACTCAATTCATCTAACGGTGTCGCGTGTAAAATTATGGCATTGCTTCTGTGATATATTACAACACACAATTTATAGAAGATTCTAATAATGGCCATAGTCCATAATGATAAATATGATTATAATTTATATTAAACTACATTAATATAGTTAGCTTGACTAATATAGGTACCTAATACCCATAATCTATATTCTATCTATAAATCCAAAAACAATTAATGTTTTACTGACAGTATAACTAACCACGGTTGTATAACCACAAAGCTCTCGTTAGTTATTAGTTTATTAGTAAATTGTAACTATTCAATATTTTATTTTTATAATTTTTTTTTTTTTGGCTAATGTATATTTCCAATCCGTAATAAATATTATATATTTTCTTTGAAGTAGTTTCAACTGACTTCACTCAAGTTGTCCTGAAATTTTATAATATGGTTTGTAACGCTGTACCTATTGCATTAATAATAATTAATATTATATAAATTGTTAATTGTTATTCGTTTTCTAATATTAAGACTACCTATGTATTTTTTTAGTTTTTATACAATAATAAGTAAATTTGAAATGTGTCTAAATTACACCGTGATTTAAGAAGATATTCAATTATAACATTAAAGTAAAAATGTAACTTAATAGCAACAAAAACATAATATAAAAGTTAACGATATAATTTAATATCAATAAACGGTGACCAATATACAAAATACGTTACTTATACGTTTATAACTAATAAACTATTAAAAATCTGCAAAATGTAATGAAACCCCAACTGCTCATGTGCGGTAGAATTTATGTTCTATAACTTATGTTTTTATATGACATGACTATCATTAAACTATCACAATTTTTTTTTTTTTAATTACTTTTCAAGATAATAAAAAAGCTTTAAAATATTTATGTTATCATACGACGGGTTAAAAATAATATTTACAATTCTTAAATTTCTATTAATTACAGAAGGGAATATGTACCGATACGTATATATTAAGGTAATTTATTTAATTAGGTACATTTCTACAAGAAGATTATACTTGTTCCAACCACTGAAGGGGGGGAACTTATACCTAGAAGGCAGGAATCAATAAAAATAATAATAAAAAAAAAACCCAGTGTAGTCTTCTGCTGTATACAGTAAGTGCTGAAGACTTGCTGAGTTTACATTGTCATTGAGTAAGTCACCGCACCTATAATGGATGTGTTAAATTTGAACTCGATGATAAATTATTGTATTCGACGAAAAACGATTTTGTGCGGATGCGGTCAGTCACCTCAATTTCTAAAGATGTTTTCTTATTTCTTTTATTAGAAATACGGTAGATTGCAATAATATTATGAAAACATCGTTGTGCATAATATAGTTATTGAGAATAATACCCTTTACGGCGAAAAGTCCTTGTGAATAGTATTTTTTGCATTACAAAAAATAAATAAAACAGTTTTTTTTTTCCGTTTGAATATCCAATTTCGTAAAAATGTTCAACTTGAAGTATCTATAATATGAACTGTGCTTATAACAATTTTTTTAAGCTTGCTGTAAGAACTGCTTACGGGGTTCTTTGTATTAAACTTTCAAACCTATGCTATGGTTAAAAATTGAACATTTTACAAATTATTAACTACAATCTAATTGACTAATGTTTGTAATTTGAAACTTGGGCTTATTTGAGACTTTTTTTTTGAAAGGTTGTATTATATAATTATATTTACTATATATTATATATTATAGAATACTACTTTGAATTTATTTTATGTTGAATATCCTAAGAACTAACTAGATCCGTTTTATACGTACAAAAAACACTCTGAACATTCACAAACACAATAAACAAATTAAAAATTAAAACACAAACCAATACATTCATTCTTCCGTTCATAATATAAAATCAAATGTGAACGAGTTGAATAGCGTAAAATATTCAAAGGAATATTTTAAGTTTATGCAATATTTAAGCTGTGGTAGTAGTTTAATTATATATTATATTACATAATTGATAGTTTGATCAAATTAATGAACTAAATTGTTTATATGAACGCAACGAACAAGGAGTGATATTATGTTCATCGTCGTTTGCTTTATTATTTATTTATTTTCTATGCGGGTATTTAAATATATTATAAACGGGAGACCTGACAATCGTAACAATTACGGTAGGTGTCTAGATATCATCGAAAAATAATAATAATAACGTCTTACACTATTATTATTATTTATTAATTACTATCATTATACGTTTTAAAATCATAATATTATATCGTCGTCGCATCAATGGCGTACACAGATATTTTCAATGCAACGGGTTATATAAAAATATATTTTGTATACTTATTATCAACATATTAATTGTTGTACATCTATTATACATATTATAGTAAAAAAAATACCATGATGAACACCCTTCCATACCATGGGATGGGGGTTGAACACCCCCTCCCCACTGTGTGTACGCCACTGGTCGTTATTATAATATTTTGATAAATTGTTATAACAAAAATATAATATAATACTATTTAACATAATATGAAAAAATATGCATTATAATTATTTCAAATTGAATTCACTTATTATTTCATTTGATAAAAATGTTAGTTACTCAATAGCGTTTGTGTAGTTTTCAACTCGTCTGATTAGCTGTAAGCATTATTATAGAGTATACAGTATATACCTACCCAAGAAATTATGCAGTTATCTTGAATGCTCCATTGTTAGTACGTGTTTACATTATATTGGCATTTAAGAATAATTAAAATTTAGTTGGCATTTTTAGATTAATGTACTATAATTTAATATTTAAGTAATAATTATATAATCCTATATTGGCTGATATTTGCTATATTATATTAATTAATTTGATAAGACAACATACATTTATTTACCATACAATTAGTTCTTATTATTACAAGGACATATAAATATATTTTTACAGTTCATAAGTAAAACATCGTCTTTCATTGATCTTATAACATAGTCGACAGTATGTGGTTAATATTACAAAACTATTCTTATTTGGGGCTTAGTGAGGCATGGAGGTTGTATTCAGTCACGAAACGTGTTCTAAGTGCAAGTATCGGCCTGTGTCACTATCGTTCCCGGATGGGTGGCCTCCTGGGTTTTGATATTTATATATTTAAAAAAATTAATTAATTGGACACCACACCCGCATATATAGGTATGTTATCTCTGTCTTACAAATGGGTAACATGCCAAATTTAGGCTCAGTAGATCACGTTTAGTTCCATTAGTTTAAAAGAGCGATTGTAAACTCGGCCAATGAAAAAAAAACTTTCAAAAGGTTTATTTCGTCCCTTAAAATGTGTTGCTTCTTGGAGCGCATTGCGTTATTCATAATTTGTATTCGAAGAACATTAGGTAAGTACATTATTTAAGTAACATTTAATAAATAACTAATATATAGATAATAAAGATATAGTGTATTGTCGTAAAACACTTATTTAACCTAAACTACTTTAATTTTGAATGACTTAAACTATAGCATACATATACGCGTAATTGTAGGCTGCAGCAAATAAATAATAAATTCTTCTGTACTTACGTGATATTACATCAATATAATTTTTTTTTAATATTAGGTATGATTTGTAAAATGATTATTGTACAATTTATACTAAATTTATCAATATTATTTTATTAATTAAAATACATAATATTTTATATCACAGCATCTAACAGAATAAGATACTCTTAAATAAGAAGTTTATATTATGTATTATTATTTCTTGTATGTATAATATCGTCTAAAAGTCACATTTCAAATATTATTAAGCTTACCAAAGAACAATCAAAGTCCAATAAAGATCTCAATCCTAATATTATACCAAATCAATCAGTCTGAATATTATGAATTTGAGAATATAATTGACTCTGAAAATCAAGATAAGGAAATTCATATTGATATTTCTAATATGGACCAACAGGCAAAAAAAATAGTTAAAAAGCGTTCTCCAAAAGCTAATAAAGGTGAATGGAAAAGATTAAAAATGCAAAATTTAAGAATGACTGGTAAATCCTATGTAGGATATCACAGAAAAGATAATGTTGTTGAACAACATGTGCAGAGACCTAGTAGAATATTAGATAACACTTGCAGTTCAACGTTCTGTATTAAAGCTAAAAAACGATTTTGTAATAAATTTATTGAACGTCAACGATTACAAATTTTCAATCGATTTTGGGCTACATCCTGCAGTGAAAAAAAATATATGTGAGCAGCATGGTAAATTTGATTCCAGTTAAAAGAAAAACTAATCAACTAGTTGATGAAAGCCGATGATCTCAAACTTTTGAGTACTATTTAAAATCAGATGAAACTGAAAAATTACTAGTGTGTAAGAAAATGTTTTCGGGGACTCTGGGTGTAAAAGAAAATATGATACAAAACTGGATCAAAAATACATACTCTAATGGATTGCAGAGAAAAATTAATTCAGAAAATACACGTAATACTGGTACAACATCTCGTTTGATACGTAGTTCCTCATTATAAACCAGGCAGAAATATATAAGTGATTGGTTCAACAGCTTACCAAAAATGCCATCACATTATTGTCACAAGCAAAACATTTTGGTACCTATAATAAATTCCAAACTAATCATATCACAATATCCACTAGATACTTATAACGCGTTATACATCAACAAAAACCGTGATACTATCATAGATATATAATAGTACACTTTAGAAGTTTCAAGTACCCACGAATAATATTATTCAATCACAACAAAATAACTAAAATCGTAATTCTTGGTTTAAATATGAAATTTTGTCTAAATTTGAAATTAAAATGTCTGTAAAAAATAAGTGTGTTTATATATTTTTTAGATTTTTTGGTTACAGTATGAATTATTTAAGAGAATCTTTGTTTTAAATTTTCAACTCTTAGTTATAAAAACTGAACATTTTATAATTTTTTAATTCCAACGATTGATAATTTTTGAGATTTTGATAAATTTTGTCAAAATTCCAACTTTAAATGCTTATAAAAAAAAATCGTGCCTATGTATTTTTAATATTTTTCAACTGATATTGTAACAATATATCAGGAGCCTTGTATTAAATTTTTACACTTTTTGGCCCAACAGATAAAACTTTATTGATATTTATAGAAAAAAAAATTTAAAAAAATTGAAAGCTGTAAATGTCCATAAACAGCTCAAAAAGAGTCAAAATATTTTCAAAATTGTATGGTGTATAGGAAATGGTAATATAAACATTCAGTGAAATTTTCATGTATCTACAGTTATTCGTTTTTGAATTACAACAAAATAAGGAAATCGCTACATGAGAAATCGAGTGAAAATCCAATGTTGTAAAAATTTGAATTTCAAACGCTCATAAAAATTTAATTTGACTGTCCGGTAGAGATTTTTTTATTGATAAAGGTAGATAATCTTATAAGGAATCTTGTGTTTCATTTTCAAATCTTAGATTTAAAAAGAAAAATTTTTACGAATTCTTAACTCAAAATAATTTGCTAATTTTCGTGATTTTTCCATATTTTGTCAATTTTTGAACTTTAAATGCTTATAAAAAAAAATTGTTACTAAGGATTTTTAATATTTTTCATCTGCCTTTGAAACAACATATTAGGAGCCTTCTATTAAATTTTCAAGCTTTCGCAACCAACAAATAAAATTTTATTGATATTTTTAGAAAAAAAACTAAAAAAAAATGGAAAATGAAAATGTCCCTAAACAGTTCAAAATAAATCAAAATATTTTGAAAATGTTATCGTGTATAGAAAATGCAAATATAAACAACCAGTGAAAATTTCATGTATATACGTTCATTTGTTTTAGAGTTACACCAATAACCAAAATCGATTTTTTGGAAAACCAATTTTGCGTAAAAATTCCCGTTTTTCCTTAATTTTTATGTTGTTTTTCCCAGCGCTTGTGAAAACTACTGGGAAATGTTTACTTTTGACCCCCCAAAGTACCAACTAGATTCACTTTCCTACCAGAAAAGGTACTATTGAAGAAAATCGAAGCACTTTTACTGTCCTAAAACGTGATGACAGACACAAAAATATAAATAAAAAAAAAATATAAATAAAAATATAAAAACATACATCATTGTAAAACCAATACATTCATCGCTCCGCTCAGAATCTAAAATGAACATAACATGGTACATAAACCAAACAAAATTTAAGAATTGCAAACAAAAAAAAAGGTGGGCAAGTGGGTGTCGCTCTGCTGTACAGCAGGTTACAAGTGGGTCACTGTATAATGGATGGTATTAAATTTGAATTCAATGATATAATATCATTGTATAAGAAAAACGATTCTGAGCGGAGACGGTATGTCCTTCTAGGTATAAGACATATTATATACATATCTATGGTATTAAACAAAAAATTGACCTATAATAGGTACCTATAATAAATTCCAAATTAATCATATCACAATATCCATTAGATACTTATAACGCGTTATACATCAACAAAAACCGTGATACTATCATAGATATATAATAGTACACTTTAGAAGTTTCAAGTACCCACGAATAATATTATTCAATAACAACAAAATAACTATAATCGTAATTCTTGGTTTAAATATGAAATTTTGTCTAAATTTGAAATTAAAATGTCTGTAAAAAACAAGTGTGTTTATATATTTTTTAGATTTTTTGGTTACAGTATGAATTATTTAAGAGAATCTTTGTTTTAAATTTTCAACTCTTAGTTATAAAAACTGAACATTTTATAATTTTTTAAGTCCAATGATTGATAATTTTCTAGATTTTGATAAATTTTGTCAAAATTCCAACTTTAAATGCTTATAAAAAAAAATCGTGCCTATGTATTTTTAATATTTTTCAACTGATATTGTAACAATATATCAGGAGCCTTGTATTAAATTTTTACACTTTTTGGCCAAACAGATAAAACTTTATTGATATTTATAGAAAAAAAAAACTAAAAAAATTGAAAGCTGTAAATGTCCATAAACAGCTCAAAAAGAGTCAAAATATTTTCAAAATTGTATGGTGTATAGAAAATGCTAATTTAAACATTTAGTGAAATTTTCATGTATCTACAGTTGTTCGTTTTTGAATTGCAACAAAATAAAGAAATCGCTACATGAGTAATCGAGTGAATATCCAATGTTGTAAAAATTTGAATTTCAAACGCTCATAAAAATTTAACTTGACTGTCCGGTAGAGATTTTTTTATTGACAAAGGTAGATAATCTTATAAGGAATCTTGTGTTTCATTTTCAAATCTTATATTTAAAAAGAAAAATTTTGACGAATCCTTAACTCAAAATAATTTGCTAATTTTCGTGATTTTTCCATATTTTGTCAATTTTTGAACTTTAAATGCTTATAAAAAAAAATTGTGACTAAGGATTTTTAATATTTTTCATCTGCCTTTGAAACAACATATTAAGAGCCTTCTATTAAATTTTCAAGCTTTCGCAACCAACAAATAAAATTTTATTGATATTTTTAGAAAAAAAACTAAAAAAAAATGGAAAATGAAAATGTCCCTAAACAGTTCAATATTAATCAAAATTTTTTGAAAATGTTATCGTGTATAGAAAATGCAAATATAAACAACCAGTGAAAATTGCATGTATCTACGGTCATTTGTTTTAAAGTTACACCAAAAACCAAATTCGATTTTTCGAAAAATCGATTTTGCGTAAAAATTCCCGTTTTTCCTTAATTTTTATGTTGTTTTTCCCGGCGCTTGTGAAAACTACTAGAAAATGTTTACTTTTGACCCCCCAAAGTACCAACTAGATTCACTTTCCTATCAGAAAAGGTACTATTGAAGAAAATCGAAGCACTTTTACTGTCCCAAAACGTGATGACAGACACAAAAATATAAAAATATAAAAATATAAATAAAAATATAAAAACATACATCATTGTAAAACCAATACATTCATCGCTCCGCTCAGAATCTAAAAGGTGTCGCTCTGCTGTACAGCAGGTTACAAGTGGGTCACTGTATAATGGATGGTATTAAATTTGAATTCAATGATATAATATCATTGTATAAGAAAAACGATTCTGAGCGGTGACGGTATGTCAGTCTATGTATAAGACATATTATATACATATCTATGGTATCAAACAAAAAATTGACCTATAATAGGTACCTATAATAAATTCCAAACTAATCATATCACAATATCCATTAGATACTTATAACGCGTTATACATCAACAAAAACCGTGATACTATCATAGATATATAATAGTACACTTTAGAAGTTTCAAGTACCCACGAATAATATTATTCAATCACAACAAAATAACTAAAATCGTAATTCTTGGTTTAAATATGAAATTTTGTCTAAATTTGAAATTAAAATGTCTGTAAAAAATAAGTGTGTTTATATATTTTTTAGATTTTTTGGTTACAGTATGAATTATTTAGGAGAATCTTTGTTTTAAATTTTCAACTCTTAGTTATAAAAACTGAACATTTTATAATTTTTTAATTCCAACGATTGATAATTTTCGAGATTTTGATAAATTTTGTCAAAATTCCAACTTTAAATGCTTATAAAAAAAAATCGTACCTATGTATTTTTGATATTTTTCAACTGATATTGTAACAATATATCAGGAGCCTTGTATTAAATATTTACACTTTTTGGCCCAACAGATAAAACTTTATTGATATTTATAGAAAAAAAAACTAAAAAAATTGAAAGCTGTAAATGTCCATAAATAGCTCAAAAAGAGTCAAAATATTTTCAAAATTGTATGGTGTATAGAAAATGCTAATTTAAACATTCACGCTCATAAAAATTTAACTTGACTGTCCGGTAGAGATTTTTTTATTGATAAAGGTAGATAATCTTATAAGGAATCTTGTGTTTCATTTTCAAATCTTAGATTTAAAAAGAAAAATTTTTACGAATTCTTAACTCAAAATAATTTGCTAATTTTCGTGATTTTTCCATATTTTGTCAATTTTTGAACTTTAAATGCTTATAAAAAAAATTTGTGACTAAGGATTTTTAATATTTTTCATCTGCCTTTGAAACAACATATTAGGAGCCTTCTATTAAATTTTCAAGCTTTCGCAACCAACAAATAAAATTTTATTGATATTTTTAGAAAAAAAACTAAAAAAAAATGGAAAATGAAAATGTCCCTAAACAGTTCAAAATAAATCAAAATATTTTGAAAATGTTATCGTGTATAGAAAATGCAAATATAAACAACCAGTGAAAATTTCATG